ACAGAGCTACCATTATTGTAGAGAAACATGAATTACAGGAATCCAGAGAGAGGTCTTGCTCTCTGGATCAGGGGCTGTGCAGGTTAGGCTCCTCAGAAGTTGGAGTTACACAAACAGATGCAAAGGAAGCACTGAAACCAAAGAAACACCAATTTCTTCATACTTGGGCTAGTTAAAGCTGTCACACAGCAGCCACCCCCACAGTGGTTTTCCATCTTCCCAGGCATTAGGTATTACAAATCATAGAATCATAGAATCATCAAGGTTGGAAAAGACCTCAAGGACCATCAAGTTCAACCGTCAACCCACACCACCTAACTCACTAAACCATGTCCCTAAGCACCACATCTACACGTTTCTTGAACACCTCCAGGGATGGTGACTCCACCACTTCCCTGGGCAGCCTGTGCCAATGCCTGATCACTCTTTCAGTGAAGAACAGAGAAGTAAAGCAGTTGTGCTCTTCATAATGTTGGGGCAGAGCCTATCAAAGACATCAGAATTTGAAGGTGTGTTCAACACTCAAAAGTTCAACCAAGAATGTTTGTTTGTGATTTTTATCTGCCTTTTGCGGACAGCACTCCTTCTGCTGTGTGCTGTTAACAGCTGCATCCCTCCTCGGAGCTGAGCTGCAGCGTGGCATGGCTGAGAACTTAACTGCTGGATATTGTGGTTCCTATTTGCTAAAGCTAAGAGTATGCCTGCCCTTCAGCCAAGGGTGTGTTTGTAGCTTGTGCAGACATTCCCTAGTGAACTTTCAGCTAGCTAGATGGGGTACAGATAGCAGTTTAGCCACCGCAGCCTGGAGCGCAGCAGAGGCACAGCACCCACTTGGGTTGGCCACCTCTAAGGCAGATTTTTCAGCCTGTGCTGAGCAAGCAGACAATTAGGATATGTCTAATTTAAGGGTAGCTAAAGTGTAACCTTACGAGACAAAGCAGTGTTCTGGCTGGTGTGAGGGCTGGCTCTGGAGGTGGTGGGTTGGTATTGCCCCCATCACTCCACCAGCACAGCTTCAGCAGAGTCTTGTCGTGCTCTGAATCCGAGACACTGCAGATTGGGTTTTACATATTTTTCTAAATGTTGTCGATCCAGCTTAGCACTTAGTGTGATGTTTCAAGCATTCTGCTATGTAACAGATGTTTCTGATGCCAATAGCTGTTATACTAAATATTGCTTTATTGAAAAAAATTAATAATTACTTGATAATTAATTTAATAATGTGTGCTTACTTCAAATTGCCATATAATTGCGGTGCCATGAGTGTCATTAAATCTAAGTTAGATTCTTGTTTGTAATAGTTGAGATGATTGACCCAATTTTTCTATTTCTAGGTAATTTTCAAGAAAAAAAAGTTCCTCTGTGTGTGGATTACTTAGAGGGAATGTACAGATCTGCTTATAGAATCATCTTACAAATACTTACTTAATGACCTTCATTGGGAATTACGTTATTTCCTTGAACATTGCTCCATGCTGAAATTTGAAATTGTGTGGAGTTCTCAAGTGCAAAGTATCTGGTGAAATAATACTTTATTTGAGGTAAAGGTAATGAACTGCCTTTCTTAATCTCCAATTTTAACTTTGCAATCTGAGACTGATCAATTTAATTGGAGGTTATTTAGGTCATATCCTCACAAACCTTCCATGATCTGAGTAGTCCTATTGATTTATGGTTTGCTCTTGTGTTAAAAGGCCTGAAATAACTTCCTTTTGTGTTTTTCGAGATTTCTCCAAATGAAGAAGGTTTTTGTTTGAGGTGTTTCCCTTTTAGCTTTGTCTGGCAAATAGTGACACTAGTCTGGACATATCTGCGGGTGTAAGTTATTTTCAGACAGCCGAAGGAATTTACTGTCTCACCTGAAAGAATTTCAGCTTGAAGAAAATGAGTTGTTCAGCATTGTCAAGAAATTCTTCTGTTCCTTGGGTGTGTATGCATGCAAGAAATGCGTAAACTAAATACGCTGCTATTTTTTGAGTTCTAGTCATCTATACTGGCCTTTTTTCTCTTTATTTGCTGTGAAGCCCAAGTATAGAACCTGAAATGCACCATGGTAAGCAGTTCTGGTAAATAAGCTGCACTTGGTCTGGTCTGCATATTAGTGGAAAGTACCAAGAAAGCATGACTAGTCTGTTCTCAGGAATATATACCAAGTTCTGGGACTTTTATATGCTCTCTCTTCCATCACAAAAACAGAGTATGGGAATCAGTGAATCAGGGTTTCTGTGCAATGTACGTGAGACAGATCCTTTGGCATAAAGTCGTATGTGCTTAAAATATTATTGAATAAATTATACATAATGTTTACAGATAAATAGATTTAAACTTCTTTTCATCCGTATTGTTCACCCATTTGAGACATCAGTGTCGTTAATATTTGAAATAGACTTAACTGAATTTTTAAGCTCTTCTTGCAAAGAGCTGACTCATTGCCACAATATTAATCTATTAGCTGCTCACCCAAAGGTGACATAAATGTTTGAATTCTCAGTTCATTACACAGTATTTATCCTTGTTGATATCAAAAGAGCTGCTTATTCAGCTACAAAAGTTATTATGTAAATAGTAATGTAAATTTTATTTAAGTACTTTTTTATACAGTGGTAGATTTTAAAAGAAATACAAAGCCAAGCCATGCACACAACTGAACAGGTGGTGCTACAAAAGCAAACTGAGATAAAACAAGAAACTAGAACATGAGTATTGTTAACTTTTGTTCGTATATTAAATGAAAGCATAGGGGTGTCTGGTCAGACAGCAAGGCTGTTCACTGCTGTTGGAGGCAGCCTGCAATGTAATCTCAGCATACTTCTGAGTTTTGAACTCCAAAACAAAAGTATTTAAATTCTTTTTAGTGCCGCAGTAGGTAGGAAAAATCATAAGAAAGCTGCACAAGCAGCAGGGCTGAGATGGTGCTGGAGGAAGCACCGATTTGTATCCTGAATTGGAGGAGAGAGACAAGAGCAATAGGGAAAGGGATGGGAACACTGGTGCAGATGGTGAAAACACTATTTCCCAAAAATCCATCATCAGAGTTGCTCCACTGTCCTGTCAACTGTGAGGAGGCTGAAGATGTGAGACCCCTTGGGTCTGAACTGCTTTCCTTCTTGATTTAGAGCAGAGATCTGACATGCTCTTGTTCTCAGAATCGTGCCTTCCTTGCTGATCTGCAGAATGTACCACCACAGGTGCTTTTCACTCCCTGCCGAAGCTGTTTTGCTTCATGTAAGCAGTTAAACACTTGCTGGGCTGATGGGAGAAATTCCATGGCTGGTATTTAAAAACCTCAGTGCTGCTGCTGGGCTTTCCCTTGCTTTTGCCAACTTACAAAGTGGAGAGGTAATGCCTGTGAGAAGGAAAGAAGCAGTCTGGCTGATGGCTTGCGGGAAGGCTTGTTCCAGGTGCTTTGTCTGGCTGGTGAAATTTTGCACCAGCCCTGCCAGGGGAACAGAGCAGCTCGTCCCTGAGCTATGCTGGAGACAGGCTGTGTAAGTATCCCACTCACCAGGCTTTAGGGCATGAGGGCATGTATTTCTTCTTGCCTGTTTTGTGAACCCAGGTCTGTGTTTCAAGTAACGTTCCAATAAATGAGAGTTGTTGATGTCCAGGCACTCCCTCCAGTCAGCTACAGGTCAATAGAAAGTTGTTATTATCTTGCAATCCAGAGAGTACAGTGGTTATTTTTTGTTTGATCCCTTACGCTGAAGCAGTGCATCCACGGCTAAGGCGTATTAATTTAATTTAGCAGGCTTTCCTCTCCTGCATGGAGATGAATATTATTATCAGAAGGGAAACAGATATTAAATGAGGTCAAGGTGACCGCACATAAGCATTAGATAACACGTTAATTTCAAATGATTAATGAAATAGTTAAAGTATTTTAATGGTAAACTGCAGTACAGACACAGAATGTCCCTTGTAGCATGGGAGCCTGTGAAACTGTGTGAATATCGCTGGAAGCCTGGGTGCAGGGAAGGTCTGAGGGGGAGAAGCAGGTACACAGAAAGAGGAGCTTTTTCACACCCAATTCAAAGAGGTGAAATTCCTGCTGTCCTTGTACAAACTGGTGTGGGCTGGGTGGGGGAGTAAGACAAAAAATGAGAAATAGATTGCTTTCACAAAACAAGGAGCAAAAGACAAAGCTAAAAAATAATAAAGTTACATATATGTTTTTAAAACATAAAGACTCAGTTAACTGACAACAGCTGGAAAGACTGGATTCAATAATTTTCTCTCCAATGTCTGTTTGTGATGAATAATTAGAAAGAAATTAGGTAAGCTAATGATAGTTACAGAAGCATGACCTGTATTTAAAAGAGCTATCACTTGGTCATCAGAGGTAGGAAACCAGTGCTCTGAAATATTAGGTACATGACTGTTTTATATTAACAGTTGTAGAGTCTGATTCTGCAAGCCTCAAGCCATGTGAGAGTGGAACTACTGTCCTGAACATGAGTACAGTAACATAGATTTAACATGCATAACTATCAGAGCCTTTGTCTGTGTTATAATTTTAGATGTTAGATCTCTATTTTGGTTTTAAACTGCGGAAATATACAGAGAAAATGCATGCACATCTTGGGGCAGAAATAATGATTGTGTTTTGCTGCAATAAAAATATTTTTTTCCCTTTTTTTATCTATAGCTTCATGAGCTTTCAATTAAAAAAAATCAAAATCTTGTTTGCTGTAGTTTTTTACTTTCCTTATTCAAATCTATCCAGAAAACCCTATGCCACATAAGATAGAACACATGAAAGAAAGTCAGTCTTTCTCTTTTCCTTTCCCTCCCTCTTTTTTTTTTTTTTCAGAGAAGTGACTTAAAATATGTGTGCTGTGTAAGAACGTGTGCTGAAGTTTCATGTTTCAGGTAATCTTCTTTAAAATAATGGGAGTCTAGATTGCATCAGTTAGTTTAAAAGCTGCTATGCTATTGGTAGGGACAAAATGGGATTACAGCCAAAATTTGACTGTGTTACTGCCAAAGTCTGTATCAGATTTAAGACACATGCTTCTGCAAGCTTCCATGAAGGCTGTGAAAAAAGTTTTAATACAGAGTTGGATTACAGCTCTTGAGCTCAAAGCATTGGCCATTACACTACCGTCTTAAAAGCCTGCTGAAACACAGAGCACAGAATAGAGCAGATTTCTTACATTTTCTGGACCAAAGTTGGATTTTGAATGCCTCTTTGTATCTTGACGGAAGATATATTAACTTAATTAACTGGAATCCCTACCTGATCACTTGTGAGTGTGTATGTGTATATACAGATATATATCTATTTAAACCCTTATCATGATTTTCTTTCAAGTGTCTCTAAAACCTGCTCTAAGAAATGACATTCTCTAAATGAACTTACAATTGTTTTGAGCAGTAAAAAGCCAGATATTTGCTCTCAGATGTTGGGATCCTTTGTGAGTTTATAAGAGAAATTCTGGAAGCTTTTCTTTTCTGTACTGGTGATAGAGAAATGCATTTCGAAACAGACGCCTCTAGCTGTATGACAACGACTGCGTAGTAACCTGTGGATTTTAAATACCAGAATGTACAAACCGTGGGTAACTGTGAATATTTTCATGGTTTCTTTTCTACATCTGCTGCAAGGATCTGACTATGAGAACGGATCTGTGAAGGTAGGTGATCTTTATTTGCTATCATTCTTAATCCAAATTGCCAGAATTGCATGCATTTAATGTGCAAGGAGGTGGTCTTTTTGCTGTTTTTTTTTGTGGACTTTTTTTGTGATAGTTTAGTTGCACAGATGTTTAGCAGCAGAGGAAAGAGAATCTTTCCTCTATGTTAATCCATATTCACAGTTTAATATTTTATGTCTTCTTACTAGTTATTATTATTTGTTGTATACTTTGTTCTTAAATTAAACTTTTACTGTCAGTCATGCAAAATAAAAGCAAAATCTGAACCAAAATGCAAGTCAGAGCATTTAGAATACTTGTTAAATACACTTTTTTTTTTAATTTCAGGTATTTATAATTGCAGGAATTACTATCCTAGTATTGAAAATTTTCCTCTAAAAACACGTGTTCATCAGTTGTTCACTTGTTTGCCAGAAATTATTGAGAAATTTTATTTTTTGTTTTATTAGGAGATGTTATCCAGGACTTCAAAATAAGCAACAACTAGTAATAATAGAGCACATTGCCTGGGAATTAACCTTTCTTCTGAATATAATACATGCAGCAAAATTTAAGTTGAAGCCTCACCTTGAGAGTAGGATTTTTCAGATCTGACTTTCAGAGACATTGATGTGAGAAAATCCAGGACAATAGTTTAGAACAAACAGAAAAAAAACTGGAACAAGTTCCTACATGTGTAGTGTGTCCAAAAATTATTAATTCGGTGTGTGGTCCAGAACAAATTATTTGTTTTTCACTAGCAGAGCAAAACAAGCTAATACTTTTTTTTCACTTCAGAAATCCTCCCCATTGTGAGAGATGACCACACACTACTCTGTGAACTGCACTGCATGCTGACCTGTGTTTTAGAAAAGAAATGCTAAGTTATGTGCTTAATTGGAGACTGCTGTTGCCAGCACAAGAAGTTAGCAGTGGTGAGTGATGTGTGCCTCAGGATGACTGATGACTAGCCCCTTTGCCTGCTCACCATTCACAAGCGTTTAATTTACAACCTCAGCAATCAGTTCTTTGAAGGCATTAGGAGCAATCAGTCTTGTATACATTACCTATGCATGACAAATCACTGGTTTCTTACATGTAGGAATCACTTTATTTAAACCAGAAAGTGCTTTCTAATATAGAATACTAACCATTGTATCATTGGCAGCGATGATAATTCTGTCCTCATGTGGGACACAAGTTTACTCAGCATAATAGTAAACCACTAGTTAGTCCTTTAATCAAATTTTGAAACTTTATCCACTTTGCCTAGAATAAATGCAAGAGCTTTCCTTGTTAATTGAACTGGTTTATAGTTTATTCACTGTGATGGGATTGTCCATACATCTGTACATCTGTGATTGTTTTCACTTAAATTTGGCTACCACTCTCAAGCAGCCAGCTTAGCCACAGGATACTGTGTATAATAACAAATCACTGTTAGTTTCCAAGACTATCCTAAAGGTATCATGTAGATCACACTAAAAAGGGCTGTGATTCATGTCCATTGGCTGCTGATTGCTGCAAAGAAAAGATTGTTTTTCAGCTTGTTCTAGCTCTTTCTGTGTAGACAGAGATTTTTGGCTAAGATGTTGATTAATTTTCTTTTAATGTTTTATATCATATGTTAGATTTCTGGGCTGTTTTAGCAGGTGTGACCTGTGGGCTTTTATGTGTGTACATATGTGGATATACTCCACAAAAAGTCCTTCGTGTTAGAGTGTTTAACGGTACGCAGGGTTATGCCTACTTATACTGATTGCACCTCAAACTGAATTTGCAGAACACAGAAATTATGTATGGCATTCAGCTACCATACCTTATTTTTTTAAAGTTCTTTAAGACCAATGGCAATATTGCCTGGGAATAAAACCACAAAGTCAGGATGCAGGTAATACACAATTAACAAGACCCAGGAAGGGTTAACCACCAGCAACATGCTTCCCCCACTCTGTTACAGGAGTTCAGGTAGCTGACTTCTGCCCAGGACACCTGAAGTTCTAAACCTGTTGATAGTTTAAACCATCAGGTGGTGTCAGTGTGCTATCATGTGATAAAGTTTTGGGGGGCTAAGGATTTAAGTACTCTCTTATCCCCCTTCTGCAAATGTCCTAATTAATGCTGTAGATGTTGAAAAGCTTATGTACAAGTTGCTGCCATACAACAAGTATCTCCGTTGTGCTTGGCTTTTCCCAACCCTTCAGAAACATCATCCTCTTCTGGGTGCAGGTGTCCCCTTTTCCCCATGTGCACACCGAGGCTGGTTGTCCCCTGCCCTTCAGGCTCAGCTCCTCCTTCCTTTTTCCATTCCTGACCCATTCCAATCCCAGCATTTGACCCATGTTCCCTCACCTTCAGGACTCAGGGTCTCAGTTTCCCAACTGGGCTCCCCTTCCTGCTCTGCACGTGCCACCCCCCTTCCTGCTGGCTTCCTCCTGGTTGGGGATGTCCTGCTTCTCTCTCAGACCCTCAGGAGGTCTGACCAAGTTCCTCAGAGACAGTCTTACCAGACCCTTTTGCTTTCCAGTCATGTCTGACCATGGTCCCCCCCTTCCCTCCTCCATCCCTAGTTTCTCACTTTGTCTCTGTGGTCACAACTTCCTAGCTTTCCTTTTCCTGACCTCAGTTTCTAGTTCTGGTCTCCTCAGATGGTCTCAGCCTCCTTGGCCAGCTCTTGCCCTCTTCCACCAGTGTTCATCTCCTTCCCCTTCCATGGGCAAATCTGTCAGCTTCCCTTCCCTGTTTATCCAAATCCTGTGGCCTGAGGGAGAGGAAGGGCAAGTCCTCTGCTCTCAGCCCCATGGGCTGGACCTGTGGTGGCCTGCAGCCATGTCCTGCTCCACTCCTGGATGGAGGGGGTCAGCACAGGCTACATCTGCTGAGCACCTGGCTGCTAAACCCTGGCACATCTCTGCTGTTGCTCTTGGAGATTTTTATGTTTGGGTGGATTTTTGCAGAGATAGCAGTAGACACATCTGGGCCAACAAAGGTTCCTCAGGTGTCAAAACTTCACATCTGTGATCCACAGCAGGGAAATGCCAGACATTTGCAAATATGATGTTGCCAGAAAATGTTTTTGCATGGATAAAGAAGGAGCTTCATCCTCAACTGTAGTCAAACCATTTTGACAAAGAAAGCAAAAAAAAAATATTAAAATTGTTTTGAGGCAGACATCTGGTGTGGAAAGTTTCAGCCTGAACATCTAATGTCTGGCAGTGTTATAAACAACTGGAAAACAGTCTTATGATAGGAAGCAGTGGGCAGCCTCAGACCGGGACAGTGCAGCCGTGCAGGTGTCAGGCTGGGCTCCTGAGCTGAACTCACATCAAGGGTGGCAGCCAGTGCTCTGCCTCACATGCCAGTTGCTTGGTTCAGGGTGCCAGCCTTGATGAACAATTCGATTTCCATATGGGTTTTCTGAAGACTGAGCATTTTTTTTTTTTTTTTTTTAACCAGGAAATGCTTTAAAAATTCCTTGTTGAAGTTTTGTCTTGACAGTCTGTTACGTTTTGGAACCTCTCATCTAGGGAACCGCAGACTTCACCGCCTCTTTTCCTGTCTCTCCCCCACACATTTTTCCTCTCCTAGAGCAATGACAGACATAGGCTACTTTTTCCAGAATTTTAAAATTAGATGCAAAGAGCTGTCCTATATTCATCAGAGCTGAGGCAATTTTTTTGCCAAGAAAAGCCAATGATCTCTCAGAGCTGTTTCTGCCTTCCAACACTAAAACTGCCTCTCTAATGAGGCAGCAAGGTCTTGATCTATGAGAATTTGAGTCTCATTGTTTCCTGCCCTATTCTGCCCCTCATGTTATTAATAAAGTGTTAAGGGGAAGTCAAGAGAAAGGGACAACTGGCAATGCCCAAGTAATAACAGACTCACAGCCTTTTCTTTTTGCAGAGGTGTTCTACCTATGGTGAACCCTCCTTTGGTTCATTGGAGACAAACCCACAGCCGATCAGCCTGAAGAGTTTCATTGAACTAGAAATCTGCTTTCTGATCAGAAGATCGACAGCTTAGATATGCTTAGCCTGTGAGGTAAACATGGCTGCTCTCTGTTAAATGCACTCGTTTTCCACAGCCGAACCTTTTCTACTTCTGCACTAAACATCAATACAGCCTTGAGTGGTCATCTTTGCTCCAACAGATTGTCTTTGATTCAGCAATCTCGTATGGACACTGTGAGCTGGACAGAGGTGGAAGCCACTTTACAAACACAGCTGGTACATAGTCCTTGTCTACTGGTGAGAGTGAAACAGCACTTCCCCATGATCCTCAGGCCCTGGACCACCTAAGTGGAGAATGCTTTGCCCTTGAGAAGGCATGGAAATACTAGAGAGCCATCACACAATGAGCACAAGGAATCAGGAAGCTCTTTGCATCTCTCCCTTCCTTGAGCCAGCTGCAGTCTGTCTGTACAACCCAAACAGAGCTCTGCAAAGAAACTTGAGTAGCAGAGCTGGATGTAAGCTTTTGCCTCTGTAATTGCCACTGACACTGTTTTTCAGATAGATCTACACAGCTCTCTAATAACTGCTTGTAAATGTTGATCAGTTTCTAGAAAAGAGAGATTCTAACACATCTTCTATCTCATGGGTTATCTTTCTCAAAGGCAACTCCTAAAAGTATAGCAAATTGCTCAACAGTTAGAAAAAGTATCTCTAAACGTTGTTGGAAACAATTTCAGAAGTGTTTTATTATCCCAGCTTTGTCACTGCTGCTTTTGATTCTCTGACTACCATCTCTGATAGGCACAATGAGCCAAAAATGT